ATGTTTTCAGCTCTTTATTATAGCTATAATCAGTTTGTTCAATTTAATTTTATAGTATTCTATATTATCTTATTTAGCTGCTGCCAGTTCCACTGAATATACATTCTTTTCTTTTTCAATGAACTTATTTTCTTCATAGATGATATTTCGTTATTTCCATGAATACATAATTAAATGTAAGAGTGCTTTGCGACATTGAAAATGTCAGAGACTGACAGACAATACGTACATAAAGTCATATCTAAGCTTTAACTGATTCGAGACATGTTGATGTAAGCGAAACTAAAATATTTCTGACAGATAAAAGCTCAAGAGAGAAAGTTAATCAAGTTTGTGTGCTAGCATTTATTCAAGCTAATAGTCCTCATTAATTAAGTATAATCGATTTGTCGATTTCAATAACTTTTTGCGTATAGATATCATATAATGTTGTAGTAAAAACCCTAAGATAAGTTAAGTTCTTATATTCATAGATTTTCAACAAAGGCTCTTGAAAATATGAAGCGTTCAAATAATACATGTTGTCTACAGTATTCATGTAAAAGAGTCTATATCTTGAAAGTTTCATATTTCAAAGAGGTTTTATAAAACTTAGTCAAATGTCAACAGGAGCTAAAAGCCTTTTAAGGTTTTCAGTACAACACTATGCAGTATGTATAGGCAAAACATCATCATTGAAAATTGAACTTGTCGAAACAAAAATTTGATTAACTCTTTTCTGTAGGTCTTTATCTGCTAACTAGTGAAAATCGAACATACAATAAAATCGATATCGATTTTCAATTAAATATTTTTTTCTCTTCTATATTTTATCTTAATATTGCGGACAAGACAAGATAACTTACATGTTGATCGTTGACAAGTAATTAAATCATAATCATTGAATTTACATTGTGCAAGTGTTTGACTATCATCTTGAAGTAATTTTCCTAAAATAATTAAATTTATAATTGTAAACAAGGAAAATATTCTTTGTATTAACCTTCATGAAAAAGACTCATTTCATCAGCTTTTATTCCAAAATCAGATTCAGCTTCAATAACAGCTTTTAAATCTTTTAATGAAAGATCCGATGCAATTTCAACTGTTAGTACATTTTCCGAACCACCAAATTTTGCTACTGATATATGCATTTTTCTTCTAATTACAAAAGTAAATATTTTATATTATCTAAAATTAACTAAATTATTTAATTTGAATTTGAAAAAACATCGACGACAAATTGAAGAGATTCTGTGCGCACTCACTTTATAACAGATGATATATTTCGTATAAAACTAATATGAGACTTTTTCTACATATATATATATATATACGTTAATTACTATGGTAAGAAACGTCTAGATGTCTCTCAGTCACGGGATTACTTATTATTAAATATTGAGTCATATATAATGACTCATATATGCCATTTGTTTTTTTGAGAACATATCAAATGCGTTGTTTATTAGAAACCAGATTGTCTTGACTTCAAAAAGAATTACCAAATAAAATCCTAGAACGAAAAGAATGACATTCATAAATTTGGTCAAACCGTCAGGGTAGACTTAAAACCGTTGTCTTTTTTTAATCTCGTTTTCATAATTTATTATTTTTAGTCTAACTATTGATTTAATGGACAAATAACTTTCCTTATATTTACAGCAGATCTTTATTATTTCAAAAATTTAGAACTGAATCAGTTCCTATTGTTTTGGTCATAAGATATTTGCGAGAAATCAAAACACCACCATCCTGGATGTCTACCATACAATCGTTTTTTCTGTGCAAAAATCAGAATTTGTGTTATTTAGAATATTGAGAAATATATTCCAGCCAAATAAATTTTAGAAAAGATTCTCAAATGTTCTAGAACCTTCTAAGTCTTGTTATTCAATGCTGGCTACTAAAAATCTGTAATGGGGAGGCGCAAAACTTCGATTTAAAACTTACACTCACAATTTCCTTTGACACATGGGCGGGCCGGCATAGGGGCGAGAGGGGGCAATTGCCCCCCGTAAAAAAATTTTTTTGGCTGGGACTTAAGAAGAACGCCAGGAGAACAAGCGTTTTTGAG